AAAGTTCACTGATGTGGTTTCAGATTCCACATTGTAACTAATCTTCATATATATCAAATCAGAATATCTTCAATCAGATGAAAAGGTTATTAAAATATTCCTTCTTTTCCCAACACATTTATGTGTCAGGCCAACTTTTCTACATATATTAATCAAAACCATGTATTGTATCACACTGAATGCACAGATACAAAAATCCAACCATCTTCTGTTAAGCTTGATATTAAAGGTATATGAAAACACTTAAAATAAAACTACTCTCATGAAATGTTGCTTTGTCTTGGAAAAATATGTTTTCTATAAAAACATGATTTATGCTAATATGCAATGAATTTATTCTTGTTATTTTAAAATTAACTGTTAAAAATTTTTGTTTTAACTGTAATGTGGTAACTATTGAGAGATATAACCCATATAAATGAAAGTTCTTTGAAGTCCTCAATTATTTTTAAGAGTATTAAAGAGTCTTGATACCAAAATGTTTTCAGACTTTCTGGTTTAGACCATTTCTGGGGGTTCAAACTCAGAAGAAACTTCCTTCATTTAAGGTAACATGGACTTCTTTTTCTTTAATAAGGAAATGATTAATTTAGAAAGAACCCAGAGAATTCAAGCAAGACTTTCACAGCAGGGGAGAGGAATGTTACTGCTTCCCTCCGCCAAAAGAAAAGATATGCAAGGAGGGAATTCAATTAATTGTTCAGGGAATTTCTTCCTGGATGGTTTTGCATTCCAGTCAAATCACGGTGGGGCACACAGCTCTCTCTGCCAGCCTCCCGCAGAGATTCTACACCCCGACCCTGCTAACACCATTTTAACTGCTACCACTGGAGTCCCTTCTCTGACTTCCTTTTTCCCATCCAGTCTGTTCTGTGCACCTTAGCACAGACCTCATCTACAAGGTTCTCTGGAAAATTAATACTATTTCCTTCAGTCAGTTTTTAGCCATTTGGAAGCTGGACATGATGTTCAGGCATCTCCTTCACTCCACTGCAGCTCGTTACATAATGCTGGGCACCACGGTGCCCATCACTCTATGCGAGTCTGCCATTTGGCTGATCAAGATGAAGACTTAGGACAGAAACACTTTATTTGCAGAATGATCTCTCTACACTGTGTCATTTCCTTTCTGGTAATGTTAGTTTTCTAACAGCATCCACAGAACCAGACAGCCAGGGCGGAAAGCTCTTTCTCATCCCGGCGCTATGGCTTTCCGACTTTGTCACTTTGGGGAAACAACTCCTTTAAGCCTCAGTTTTGCACACAGGGAGGAGGAAGACATTGTTTAATGTAGGAGGCACCCAGCAGATGCTGGCTTCCTTGCCCGATTTTCTTCCCCTCTTCTTTAGGATGCTTCGAGATAATTAGCAAGGACGTGTCAGCCACAAATCATAACTCTTTCAAAGGCATTCATTAGCCAGTGAGAAGTTAATTACACTTAATCCAGTTCCCTTTTCTCTTTATTTACTGTACTTAGGATGGATTATAAATCTCTTATCAACTAAAACACATGTTTCATAAAATTATGTATCACAAAATTATGACGATCTCCCATCTGTTTATTTAGTCATTAAGAATTTAAATAGAGTATATTTAACCCAATGATTTTCTCTACGTTTTTCTAAAATTCTTTTTGTTTTCTCTCCTTGATTCTTGAGAATCATCTCTGCTTCCCACCTCTCCTGATTTCTTACTGCTTTACTGCCCCTTGTGCCTCTCAGCCTTCTTTTCTTCCTTTCTCTCTCTTCTACACAAATCATGGTACCTTCAGGGGAGGCAGTTTCTCTGCAGAGGACTCGTGGACTGGATAGGTCAGGATATCAAAATTACTTGGGATTTCCCAGTAATTTCCCAGTAATACTGCCTACCCTGCCACAGCCCCTCTGCCTTTTTTTTTTTTTTTTTTCCGAGACAAAGTCTTGCTGTGTCACCCAGGCTGGAGTAGCTGGGACTACTGGTGTGTTTCACCATGCCTGGCTAATTTTTAAATTTTTTGTAGAGATGGAGTCTTGCCATGTTGCCCAGATGGGTCTTGAACTCATGGGTTCAACTGATCCTCCCACCTCAGCCTCCTGAATTGCTGGGATTACAGGTGTGAGCCACGGTACTCAGCTCATAGTGCTTTTTTATGCTCTCTGTCAGCTCTTAACAGAGGCCAGATATCCAAGAATTAATTGAAAAGGTTCATGAAGAAGACAGTGTTATAAAAAATCAAAAATTAAATTCTAAGCCGCACCCCCCTCACACCCCTTGGCCAAGGGGATCCCTAAGAAACCTAAAAATCTAGTTCAGGCCATGACAGGAAGGGTGTTGGACGGGCCTCATTATACCCTCCTCTCTTTGGAGTTTAGGCACAACTGACCACCACTGACATTAACGTAGAGATCATAAGACTCACAGCAGACTTGGTAGCAGGAAGATACCCAACTCCAACCTGATTCTGGTATAGCGTCCCATAACAAAGAGCAGGTCCTAAAGAAAATCAAAGTATTTGACTCTAAAAATATATTTATTTGACATATTTTTAAACGGCCCTGCAAAGCCATACTCTGGTGGGAGGAAATCTGCATTCTGTAGTGAATCTCCTTCCCTTTCCACGTCTTTTCCTGATTCAAGAGAGAATCTGACACCTTCTAAGGTCCAGAGAGGGCATTTACCATTTATTCTCTCTGAAGCCTGCTACTTAGGGGCTGCCTCTACACACAAGAACCTTGGCTTCCACAACTCACTTATCTTAACAATTTCTTTCTGCTGGCTTCAACTCTTTAGGCAAAGCTTAACTCTTCTGACCAACTGCCAATCAGAAAATCTTGGAACCCACCTATGACCTGTAATCTTGCCCTCACCACTTCAAAATGTCCCACCTTTCTGGGCTGAATCAACGTGCACCTTACATGTATTGATTTGTTGTGCCCCAGTCATGGTCACTCATGTTTGGCTCAAAATAAACCTCTTTAAATATTTCACAGTTTTTTTTTTTTTTTTTTTGCCAACAATGTGGATGATGTGAAACTGCAGCAATAGGCATTTTTCTTCATCTGAGAAGAGTCTGCTTGAACTGCGGAGCCCTAAGCCTAATTGACAGTGATGAGGATGAGGATGTCTCCAAGGGTAGGCCAAGGACAATTTGCATCAGAATGGCTTTGAAATCTTTAAAAGCAGATTCGCAAGCCCTTGACCTAGTGATTCTGATTCAAGAATTTTAAACAGAGTTCTTTGATGATTCTTCTAAATGATTCTTGAGCATCAGAGGTAACTTGGTCTTGGCACTGCCACCTTCTTGGAGAATTTGTCTGGCGTAACATTTCTTCTTTGCAAAGTCCCATAACGTTGATCTTCTCATTTAAACCTCAGATTAACTTAGTGAAATACACAGGAGCGCAGGTATTGTTTTCTCCAGAAAGTTGCCTTAAATTTTATTCTACGTGTGCTGTTGGCCAAGGCAAAGCCCAATATCAGCCATGGGTCAAGCTTGGCCAATTTCAGCCACTCCTGAATGGCTTCTACCCAGGAGCCAGGTTGCCAACTCAACAAGACATTATTGAAATTGGGATTAGATGTCTTTCACTTCTGAAAATGAGACATATGTGAGCTGGGACTACCACTTGAGGGTTTATGAGGATGTATAGGATTGTAGAGGTAAGGGTCCCTTCAGTGGGGAAGAGAAAAGAGGATCATGTTATATCTGTCTGTATCTTACACTGACCCTTCCTAGGTTAGATATTTGTGTGTATTTCACACAAAGAACAGTCAATAGAGATCTAAGCATTACCTCTCAGACCAAGCCAGACCCACAGCCCCTGCCTTCTAAAAATGATTGTTGACTTCTGGGTTGGCTGATGCATACAATGAGGTCAGCAATATTACAATTATAATGAGGTCAAATGAGATTAATAAGGGTGAAACATACAAAACACAGGTAACAAGTTTTTATTGGGATTGCAGTGTCTGGGGAAGGGTTCCAGTGGGAAAGGACCCAGTAAAGCATGTCAGGCTACAGGCTCCTTGCGGCTCTGATCCACAATGGGAGGAGCCACAGGAGTACCATCCATCCTGAACTGAGAAAGCAGTCCGATCCAGGCTTCTATTCCTCCCTGCTGGGCCAAAGCTGAAATCTGGCTTGATCTATGTAGGTCAGAATGGCATGTGGACATGGGTTTCCAGCCAGTGGAGCTCACAGGCTGTGGTTTAGACTTTTAATCACATTAAATTAAAAAGGAAACAGCACTGCCCTTCACATACATAGTCCTATCATGGTATCATCTTTACGGTCTCTGGCAAAAATGACACCCTCTTAGCAGGGTCTTCCAAAGATTTGAGGGTTCTCTGTGCTGTTCCACCACATGAAGAACTGATAATTTACTTATTCATGTACAATGTCTCACTCTAGAAAAATAATTCTTTATCAAATTTCCATAACATAAAAATGATGTAAAAGGCAAGAAGAAGAAATTAGAATATAAATATTTTCCCCATTCATCTAAGTAATTCTCAGCATTTTCTTTTTTTTTTAAATAAAGGAATAAAAGAATGACTGCTCCATAGGCAGAGCAGCCCTGAGGGCTGCTGGTTGCTCATTTTTATGGTTATTTCTTGATGATATCCTAAATAAGGGGTGGATTATTCACAAGTTTTCCAAGAAAGGGGTGGACAATTCTTGGAACTGAGGGTTTCTCCCCCTCTTAGACCATATAAGGTAATTTCCTGACATTGCCATGGCATTTGTAAACTGTCATGGCGCAATCCTCAGCATTTTCCATTTCAGGCAGTTTTGAGGAAAGTTTCAAGGGAGGATGCTGAGTGCCTAGGATTCTCAGCACTAGGGGCACTGGAGCCCAGAGGTCAGTTGCCTTTGGCCACAAACCCTTTTCCAGGGAGATCACAGATCTTCTTGAACATGCACTAAAACTATGGTCATTTTCTCTGTGTGCCGTGGTTTGAAAATGTTGACATGCATGTCCAAATGTAGCAAACTTATCTGTATATTCTCTTCATCCTAGCTGTACCAAAAATGATGCTGCTGTCTATCAAATCTCAGCTAAAAACTCTTTTGGAATCATCTGTTGTTCTGCTTCCGTTGAGGTTGAGTGCTCATCAGAGAACCCACAACTGTCTCCTAACCTGGAAGATGACAGGGACACAGGTTGGAAACATGAAACAGGGACGTGTGAAGAAGAAAGTGCAAATCAGATTGATGAGAAGGAACATCTTTATAAGGAAGAAGAAAGCATCTCCCCAGGCACTCCCAGGTCCAACCATTCACTCTCCCTCCAGTTACTGGGCAATCTTGACATTAGTGTGTCCAGTTCTGAAAATCCCTTGGGTGTTAAAGGAACAAGGCACCCTGGAGAGGCTTATGATCCAAGTAACACAGAAGAAATTGCAGATTCGTTGCTTTTTCTTAATTCAAGTCATGTTTACGAAAAACAAGATGAACTTTGCCACAAGACAGTGCATTCCACAGCATCCAAGTTCACGGGTGGTGGCCTGAACAATGATGGCCCTCATGATGAAGGCTTACACTCCAGTCAGCAAAATCCCAAAGTACAGAAATACATTAGCCTCAGTCTCCCGCTGTCTGAGGCAACTGCACACATTTACCCAGGTGACAATGCCGTGGCCAAGAAACAACCCAGCCCACAGGTTTCCAGTGAAGACTCTGACAGTGACTATGAACTTTGCCCAGAGATAACCCTAACCTACACCGAGGAGTTTTCAGATGATGACCTGGAGTATCTGGAATGTTCCGATGTTATGACGGATTACTCTAATGCAGTTTGGCAAAGGAACCTGCTGGGGACTGAGCATGTTTTTTTATTAGAAAGCGATGACGAAGAGATGGAATTTGGTGAGCATTGCCTGGGTGGGTGTGAGCATTTCCTCAGTGGAATGGGTTGTGGACCTCAGGTGTCAGGTGACGCTGGGCCTATGGTTGCCACTGCTGGCTTCTGTGGTCATCACTCACAACCCCAAGAAGTTGGGGTGAGGAGTGGCAGAGCCTGCAAGCATGGTCCCTCATCCCCACAAACAGGGATGACTCTCACTTTGGGACCTCACCAGGATGGGATGTCTTCAGTGACAGAACAGGGGAGATATAAACTCCCCACTGCTCCTGAGGCTGCTGAAAATGATTATCCAGGAATTCAAGGAGAAACCAGAGACAGCCACCAAGCAAGAGAGGAATTTGCCAGTGACAATCTGCTCAACATGGATGAATCAGTAAGAGAGACAGAGATGAAGCCCTTGTCTGGTGAGTCGGAAAACTCAGGGATGAGCCAGTGTTTGGAGATGGCAGCTGAGAAGAGAGTTGGGGGAAAGGACTTATGGAGCGAGAGGGGTTCACAGAAACCTGCCAGGGTGAGGCAGCTGGGAATGAAGGGAAATCCCAAGAAGCCGAATGCCAACCTGAGAGAAAATACAACAGAAGGTACCCTTCATCTCTGCTATGCCAAAGAATCTGCTAAGCACCCACTAACCCAGAGTGATAAAAGAGAGACTTCTCACAGCACAGCAGCAGCGACTGGTCAGAATTCCCATGCTGATGCAGGAGAATGTGCTATTTCAACCCAGGCAGAGCAAGAAGCAAAAACCCTTCAAACTTCAACAGACTCACTCTCCAAAGAAGGTAACACCAACTGCAAGGGAGAAGGCATGCAAGTTAATTCTCTATTTGAAACAAGCCAGGTTCCAGACTGGAGTGATCATCCTCAGGTAAGACTTTTCTTTTGAATAAATTATGAGATGAAAAGAACATGTGTGTGTGCGTGCGTGTGTGTGTCTTTTCCTTTACTTCACATTCACAATTGCTATACCATAATGTAAATCAAAATAAGTTTCCCAACACCATCAGGGTACTTGTGCATGACAGCTGCTGCTGCTCGGAAGGAAATCTGGTTTTGAAAAAAGGCCCAGATAAACCCTAAGCCATCCTAATTATAGCAAAAGACTGATAGAAGTTAAGAGGCACTAATGGGATTCTGGACAGCTGGAAAAAGAAATCTGATATTTTGTCTGCTGCATGTGTTTTACCAGGCAATACCACTATTCAGAAAGTTTCTCAAGCGAATGTTTTGAGTGTAGCCTTTAAAGGAAGAAGGGGGAAAAAACATTGCTTTTAGTCATTTGCAAGGGAGTGCTTTGAAAATGATAGGTTTTGGCTTTAATCAGAATTTGTGGTATGAATGAAAGACGTCAGTGTGTCTGAAAGACTTGTAGAATTCACTGTTTTTGTGACGCTAGGGAAAGCAGGCAGAGTAACTTTTGCCACACTGGTGGGATGTTTTTGAGTGGATGTTTGTCTTATTTTAAAACAGAGTATAAACGAGGTTAAGAGAAAAAAAACTGCCAAGAAATAAATGTGTTTTCCTTCATTACCGATTTGGGAGTGTAAAGAGATGGAATTAAATTTATGGGAATAGTCAATGCACAAAAGATGTTGTGCTTGATACATAACTTATGTTTTTATTGATATTTTCCATTTTAAAGGGTCCCCAGTGAGCTTTGGACTTATGCTGTAGTATGGGCAAGATTGGAGTTTTGTAAATAAATACCTAAGAAAAGTGATTTGTCTATTTTTTTTACTATACTCTGTATTCCCCTTTCTCCCAATTTTGTACTTGAAAACTAGTATTATTTTTATAGAAGACTAGATACACTCCAAAGGTAAAATATTCCCAATGCAAAGTGACTTAACTCTGTGAAAATATTAAAAATTGACATATGAATTTCTAAAGACCCAGTCATAAAAAAGCCAATCTAAAATTCTCCAGATTTTAGGTAACTGTTGACTGAGCAAATTGTTCTGTTCTGCTAGCCAAACTAGCCAAGTAAAAGCCACATTTATATTGTACCTTTCACAGGAGAACCAGATTCTCCTATCCAGTTACTTAACACACATCTCTTAGCAGCTCACACACACACCAATGACCACAGTTTCATGCCCAAGATAAGCTTAAGGAAGTGCTTTGACCATATTTTAATACAAAATAAAGTGACAATGTTAATTTTTTCATGTTGAAAAATGTGGCATTTCCTTTTCTAATTATAAAGTGCTCTTCCTTGCTCAGCTAAGTGCTTTTTTTACAGTCATTTATCCACTCAAAGTGTTTCCTTGGACAAATTATTACTAAAGGTGGGGGAAGGTGATAAAGTAACTCAAAAGGAGGAAGCGGAAGGGAAGGGGGCTATTGATTGACGATATTGGTTTTAGACCCACCATTGTGGAAGGCAATTTCTGTGTCTTCCATCTGCCCCAAATTTCAAAGAGCTGGAGAGAGGAGCCCCCTTAGTCATCCTCAGCTTGTGATCTAAACAGAATTCTGAGATCGAGAGCCCTGGCTCACTTGTTTACTAGCAAGACAGTCAAGTAAAATGGGCCATTTCTGGGGAGCCAGGTCATCTATCTTATGCACCTTATGGAAGGTCTTATGGAACTCTTTGGCTTACACACTCACACATATATTCATCACTACACACCCACTCTACCAGGTATCAGCTGAAGGTCCAACCGGTGCTCGGTGGTGTGACTAAGGCAATTATCTCAGAACCATGAACACTGTTGTTCAGAAAGCAAACTGGAGGGCTTGCATGTTCTGCAAGCGGTGAGAGCATTTCTCACTTTGCAGTGGTCAGTAGCAGAGCTGACCTCTCACTCAAGGGACAACCAGAAATGTGAATGGAAGCTGTATATTTAAGAGCAGTTCTGCGGAGCCTGGAGTTAGAAAAAGGATCTTTATATCTGTGGTGTTTGTTTTCCTTTGACTAAAGCAGGAAAATTTTGCCACAGGGACTGGCATATTTGAGATTCTTTTACCTATGCAAAAACTTTCTATTTAGTTTTAGGAGGTACCTGTATTTTCTACACACGTATCCAGTGTAGCCAAATTTACAGCAAGTGGCTAACTATCATCGCAGATGTGACACAGAAGCACTGGGGGTCATTGGGAACTAAATTCAACTTTTTAAAATAATACTGTTCACAAAAAGATAGGTGAATCTCTCCATAACAAATTCAAAAGACATTCTACATATTTATTCTCAGATATTTGAGGTTTGTGGGGACCTCAAAATTTGAAATGGTTAAAAATGCTGCGATGGGAGCCATACTAATAAATTTGCCCGCTCTGTTTCATCTTTCTTGAGACGGAGTCTTGCTGTTGTTGCCTGGACTGGAGTGCAATAGCACGACCTCAGCTGACTGCAACCTCCGCCTCTCGGGTTCAAGTGATTCTCCTGCCTCAGCATCCTGAGTAGCTGAGATAACAGGCACCCACCACCACGCCTGGCTAATTTTCATATTTTTAGTAGAGACAGGGTTTCACCATGTTGGCCAGGCTGGTCTCAAACTCCTGACCTCAGGTGATCCACCCACCTCGGCCTCCCAAAGTGTTGGGATTATAGGCGTGATCCACCACGCTTGGCCAAATTTGCCCAATCTTGAGTCTTGCCTGATTCACTTACCTTTAGGTGCCTTTTTGCAGAAACAGTGACCAGCAGTTTACCTCCTAGTATTTTCTTTTCATCTGCGTACTGTTTTTAGCATGCTGAGAAAAACTCCATCTCTCTAATGTTCTAAGAACAGGCCATATTGTAGACTATCTCCTGCCTAAACATGCATCTCCAGGTGTATTCACTTCCTGTCTCCCTTTCTCTCTTTTAGAATGCAAGGCCATCTTGCTGTTATTTGTCTTGAAATAGTACCTAGCCAGGCTAATATTGGAAAGCCCCCAGTGTCTCTATATTTATGGAGGATTATAAAGTTAATCCCAGTTTGGGAGTGGAAAACAGAGAGGGTACCCCAGGCTAACTTGAATCATCTTCAAGGGTCATACTGCCAACTCTTCACCTTGGTTTTGAGCTCACTTTCCTCGTCCAAGTCAGAGGCAAAGGCCTGACAGTCTGCCCATCTTAAGTTTCTCGGCAGCCACACTGGGGTAAGATCATCCTCCCTCTTAAGTCAGAAGTGCTGTGTCTGTGCTCCTGCACAGTTGCCCAGCTTCACCCCAGAGGGAGCTGCATTTCTGTTTGGGGTCATGGGATCACAAGCGTACAGTAAGGAAATGTGTTCTTGGGCTCTGGTAATGAAGAATCTTCCTGATCAGGAATCAGCACTAAGCACAGAATTGAGCTCTATGATGGAAGGTAATTTGTTCAGTGTATTCTGTTCGCTGATATAACCCAAGTCCCTAGAGTAATGCCTGCCATGTAATAGGCAATAAATCATTGACTGGATAAGTAGTCATAGAATATTAGAGTAAATGCCAAGTATAGTTAGGTGTGATTTTTCTTTTTTTTTTTTTGAGATGGTCTTTCACTCTTGTCGCCCAGGCTGGAGTGCAATAGGGCGATCTCAGTCCACCACTACCTCTGCCTCCTGGATTCAAGTGATTCTCTTGCCTCAGCCTCCTGATTAGCTGGGATTACAGACATAAGCCACCATGACTGGCTAATTTTGTATTCTTACTGGACATGGGGTTTCTCCATGTTGCTCAGGCTTGTCTCGAACTCCTGACCTCAGGTGATCCACCCGCCTGGGCCTCCCAAAGTGCTGGGATTACAGGCGTGAGCCACCACATCCAGCCAGTTAGGTGTGATTCTAATGATCACTCATCTCCACCACTTTATGGCCTTTATTTTCCTGAGCACATTCTTTGGTTGGCTTCATATAAAAGATGCTGAGGCCAACTCTCTGCTAATAGGATGTGCTTCCTATTAGTTACTCTTTTGGCCTGGGAATGGGCTGTTTCAAACCAGCAGTCCCCAAATATTTTGGCATCAGGGACTGGTTTTGTGGAAGACAATTTTTCCACAGCCAGAACGCGGCGGGGATGGTTTCAGGATGAAACTCTTCCACCTCAGATCATCAGGATCTGTTCCACCTCAGATCATCAGGCATTAGATTCTCATAAGGAACGCACAGCCTAGATCCCTTGTATGCACCATTCACAATAGGGTTCATGCTCTGCCGCTTACCTCCTGCTGTGTGGCCCAGATACTAACAGGCCCCAGAGCAGTACTGGTCCATGGCCCGGGGTTTGGGGACCCCCCATTCTAAACCATCCAAATCTTTTTCTTTGTTTTGAGATGGAGTCTTACTCTGTTGCCCAGCCTGGAGTACAGTGGCACGATCTCGGCTCACTGCAAGCTCCACCTCCCAGATTCAAGCGTTTCTTCTGCCTCAGCCTCCTGAGTAGCTGGGATTACAGGTGCGCGCCACCATGCCTGGCTGATTTTTGTATCTTTTTTTAGTAGGGACAAGGTTTCACCATGTTGGTCAGGCTGGTCTCAAACTCCTGACCTTGTGATCTGCCCGCCTCAGCCTCCGAAAGTGCTGGGATTATAAGCATGAGCTGCTGTGCCCAGCACCATCCAAATCTTGCACTTGGGTTCTCTTGTGAATGCTGGTGATTTACAACTTTGCTTTATTAGTGCTTCATTATCTCTGAAAAATTGCTAATTAGATCCAGGAAGATCTTACCATATTCACCTAGCACTCAGGACTTTCTGCCTTTTGCCTCTATCTCTGAAAGGCAAAGCAGGACTATAAGCTGGTTTCCTCACCTGGAAAACAGCAGTGGATGGTCCATCTTTCTGTCTGGAATTCCTTTGCCCACCTTGTTTCAAGCTCAGCCTACCTGCTGCTTCAAGACTGAGATCCTGTAAGGTGCTTCGAGTTGCTTTTCTCATCCCTAACTACAATTTCTCCTTTCAGA